CAGATGATAATATTTGGTTGAGGGGTCAAAGGGAATCTAGAATCACTGCAAATTCTCTATGAATCTCAAAGTTTCTAAGATTTTTTTTAAAAAAAAGGTTTTTAAAAAGGAAAACCAGGCTTATGAGTACCTCTGTCCAGCTCACAACCACCATTCAAACAGAAGGCAGAATCTATTAAGTCAGGAGAGGAATTTGTGCTATAAATTGCATTCATAAAAATTCATTAAATGTAATTTTTCTGTATTTATTTTTGTGGTACTAGGGATTGAAGCCAGTGATGTTTTACCATTGAGCTGCATCCCCAGCCCTTTTTATTTTTTTACTTTGAGACAGGGTCTCACTAGTTGCCCAGACTGTCCTTGAACTTGCARTTCTCCTGCCTCAGCCTCCCGAGTCACTGGGATTCCAGGTGTGCACCACCATGGCTGGCTGTATTTAAAATGTGCTAAGGACAAGAAGCTCAAGTATCCAATATCTTGTTATTATGTGCATGTTCAAATGTTTGAAGTGAATTGATACTTGCAAACTGCTTTGAAATTATTTCTTTTTAAAGGGATGTATAGGGAGGTGGGGATTTGGCTTARTGCTTGCCTAGCACACATGAGGCACTGGGTTTGATCTTCAGCACTGCATTAAAAAATTAAAAAATGAAATAAAGGTATGTGTCCATCTACAACAAAAGAAAAATAAATTTTTAAGGATGCATGAGAATCCTGTCACTTCTGTTCAGTTTTGCTGTGAACCTAACACTTCTCTGAGTAAAAGTTTCCTGAGTAAAAAATTATGATGGATAGATGGATGATGGTAGATGGATGATGGTAGATGGATGAATGGATGATGGATGGATGGATGGATGATGATGGATGGATGGATGGATGGATGGATAGATGATGGATGGATGGATGATGGATACATGGAAAGGTGGATGATAGATGGATATAGATGCATGGTGGGTAGATGGATGAATGGATGATGGATGGATGGATGGATGGATGATGGTAGATGGAAGGATGGATGATGGATGATGGAGGGATGGATGGATAGATGGAAAGATGGATGATGAATGGATGATGGATGGATGATGGGTAGATGGATGGATGGATGATGGTAGATGGAAGGATGGATGATGGATGATGGAGGGATAGATGGAAAGATGGATGATGAATGGATGATGGATGGATGATGAGTAGATGGATGAATGGATGATGAATGGATGGATGGATGGATGAGTGATGGATGAATGATGGATGGATGGATGATGGTAGATGGAAGGATGGATGATGGATGGATGATAGTAGATGAGTGGATGGATGATGGATAGATGAATGCATGATGGATAGGTGAATGGATGCATAAACAGATTCATTAAATAGAAAATATAATAAAATGCTAATTGTAGACTCTGGGGGTTACTATATGATTGTTTTCTATTTTCATTTTTTATGGTCTCACAATGACATGACAAAAAGAAAAACGAAAGTCAAATCCTTCCAGCGTCTGCGTGAACGTCTCTGATGTTCCTCRCCTCACTTTGAGTGGAAGACGGTCCTTCTGAGCCCCTACCTGATCTGCTGCCCCTGCGGCCCCTGCCCCCTCCTCTCACTCTCCTTCTCCGTCCCTTCGCACTGGCCTCTGTGCCCCGTGAGCAGCCAGTCTGACTCTTCCTCAGAAGTTTGCCGCAGCTATGCACTCCCTGGGGACACATCCTCATTTCCCATGGCTCTGTCCTCSGGCTCCTCCTTCCACGGCCTGTGATTCCTGTGCCCCTGGCCTGCATCATCTTTCCCCACTGCATCTAGCCCCTGCTAAGACGCTGTGTCATTTACTTGATCATTGTCTTCTTCCCTTTTTCTTTTTGGTACTGGGTTTGCACCTGGGGGTGCTTCACTACTGAGCCACATTTCCAGACACTTTTTTCTTTTTTTTGAGACAGAGCCTGGCTAAGATGCTGAGGCTGGCCTTGAATTTGTGATTCTCCTGCCTCAGCCTCCCGATTTGCAGGGATCACAGGASTGGCCACTGCCCACCACTGACCCTCTCCTCCCCCTAGAATGGAAGCCCCAGAGAAGGAGGTATTTGTGTTTCATTAACTGAAGGACAAGCAGCACCTAGGCTGGTGCCCAGCACACAGTAGGGGCTCAATAAAGACTTTGGGAGAGTGATGAGTGGGCAGGATGGGGATGAATCCTGTGTAAGGGTCTGGAGCTGCAGCGCCCAGGGTCCCACCGGCCTTGCTGCTTCCTGCCTTGGCTAAGCCAGTTCACGTCTCTGTTCCCGAGTTTCCTTCTCAGGAAATGGACCCCGTGGGGAACCCCCACGATCACCAAGGAGGCTGTAAATAGTACAGTCACTTTGGAGATCAAGCTGGCACTTTCTCCAAAGGTAAACTGCAGACTTCTCATTCAGCCTCGTGATTCTGCCCAAGAGAAATGAAAGTAAGCGTCCACACACAGACGTGTCCGCACATGTTCAGRGCAGTGCTCAGCCGCAGCCCAGGAGCAGAGACAGCCCACACCCGCTGGCCGAGGAGGGTCAACGGCATGGTCTGTCCGCACACAGAGCATGACTCAGCCAGAGGAAGGGATGAAGGTCTGAAATTCACATCGTGGAAGGACCTTGGAGGCGTTGTGCTGGGTCAAAGAGCAGGCGCCAAGCCACCATCTGCAAATCCACTGTCTCAGATGTCCAGAGTAGGCAAAGTTGAGGGACAGTGGGTCAGGGCTGCTGGGCAGAGGTGGGGCGAGAGCTGTTTGGGGGGTGTCAGCATGCTCTAAAACTGGATTGTGGCACTGGTTGAATTTATTAAAAATCAGTGAGTGAAACGTGAAGCGGGTGAATTCTGAGGCCTGGAAGGGACCTTGCATTAAGCTGTTCAAGAGACAAAGCAGAGACATGAATGGAAGGACGGAGCCCTCCACCGCCCTGTCCCCGGGCCATCTTGAGGGGTAAATGAGCCCACTTCTGCGGCCTGCAAGATGCATGCCCGGACTTCATCAGCCAACGTGCCGAGGTCCCGGGTGAACCTGCTGGGTGACAGGGCTCAGAGCAGAGGCTCCGAAGGGCCCAAGGCCACTGCTGGGACCTCTGTGTGCTCGGCCGTGGCTTTGCCACTTCCGGGCCTGTCCCAGGGTTCTGGGTCCAGGTTCCCACCTGCATGGGGGAGCTGGGCTCCTTCTGGGTCCTTTTCTCCCCGAGCTAYGTGGTCTGCTCTGGGCGTGTTCCTCTCTGGGGGCAGTGTTTGAGGGGAAGGTGAGCCCACCAGAGAGCAGGAGTGGGCCCTCAGGGCCAGGAAGGGACGAGATSGGGCCTGAGTGGGGTGGTGTGGGAGCCGACGCGGAGGGTTTCGKGGACCTGGGTTTGAATCCTCACAGCTGTGAGGTCTGGGCAAGGGCCTTCCCGGGCAGTCACCATCTCTGGCAAGTGGGGAGGTCGCAAATGTCCTGGGGCCCCCATGGTTCGCATCCGCCTGGAAGGGTCACGAGGAAGCCAGCGGCTCTTCCTGCAGGTGCCGGGCRTCGTGTCCAGCCCTTTCCACCAAGTAGCCCATTTAATGCCAGGGTCCCTTGCCATTGGCATGATTGAAGCAGCACAGATGACATTTCCCTCCAGCCTCAACTTGTCCCTTCTGAAAGTGACCTATGATCTCTTCCCCTGACTTTGTGCGACCATGGGGCTAGCCTCAGAAGGTAGTCCCTAAACAGTGGCCTGTATTTACATCTGGTGACTGGGAGCCCAGGAGGCTCCCAGGAGGGAGTGGATTTGATGTAACAAATCCCTCCATTTCTCCAGCACTGAGGGGTACAGACAACTCTCGAGGACCTGGTGCTCTAGGGAACCAGCCTCGTTGGGTTACCCTAATTTATTTGTGCCTGTGTTTGATGATCACCACTGTCCTGAGCTGAACCGTCAGGCCCACAGAGACAGGCACCCAGGTGGTCTCACCCAACACTGAATGCTAATGCCAACCACTGGCTCCAACACAGTGGTGATCAACAGACTCTGCTCTGAGGCTTAGCCAAGATGGGCGACAGGCCAGCTGTTCTCGGGCTCACCAGGGAAACCAGCTTCCCTGCAGAAGAACCTCAGTTAGTCCCCCTGGACAGTGGGGACAGTCTGGCCTTTTCTTGCAGGTAGGAAGACACCTAAAGTAGTGATGCTGCTATCATTTGCACAGGGCACGAGACAGCCATGGAAGGGGGAGGGGCAGGATGCCAGCAGAAGGCTGACTGGCAGGTACCCTCCCCTCCACTCCAGGGTCTAAAACCTGAGTCAACTTTAAACATCCCACCCACCCCTGAGAGTATTTTCTTCAACATGTCAAACCTGCCCACCTCACAGCCTGGCCCTGGCTGTCCCTCCGCGCCCGGCTCTTTCCAGATAGTGCCTTCTCACATCTGGCTCCTTCCATCTTAATTCAGGCCAACCCCTCCCCCCAGAGAGGCCCCACCTTCAGCGGACCTCCTCCATACCCACACCATGGTGCATACGGATCACCTGGAGCAGTGCTGTCCGCTATGACTTTTCACAATGATGGGATATTTTAGATCTGTGCTGTACAATGTGGCAGCCACCAGCTATATTGGGTGAGGAACTGAACTTTTAATCATATTTCATTTGAATCAAACTTACTTATTCTAAATCTAAGCAAAATAGTACCCATTACTAGACACCCTATTGGACAGCAAAGGTCTAGAACACTCCAGCACCACAAAAAAGTCTAGTGGGCAGAGCAGCCCTGGGACTCCAGCTCTTCAAAGAAGGGGACTCAGCTCCTTCCTCCTCAGTCCCCCCCCCAGGGCTCAGCAGGGGTCTGGCGCAGAGGAAGTGGACCGCAAGCCTGGCTGCAGGAGGAGTGCAAGGACCCACATTGGAGATCCATGGTGCTGCACCCCTGCTTCTTCTCAGGCCAAGGTGCTTGGGCGCAGGGTCTCTCCTGCTCAGAACCCAAGCACACCCCACCCCCACCTCCACACACAGCCTCACTCCTGGGTTTCACGAACTCACATTTATTCACAGACAGAGGAACAGGGACAGACCTTTGATCACTGGAAACCCCCAGGGTCTGGCAGTTCCAAAGAGGTGATGGTGTCCAGTGTATGTCACAGGGAACAGGCAGGCTGGGGCAAACCCACCAGTCTGAGTCCCTCTGGCCAAATGTCCTCCGCCTCCTTTTCCAAGTCGTTCTGCCTTAAGACACGGGTCGGGGCGATCGGTTCCTAACCGGCATCAGGGGTCTAGGGATGGGCAATGGGGACGGTGGGTGGCCCAGGGCCTCCTCTCCTTAGTGTCAAGGGCTTGGGGCAGGGTAGACAGGAGGTGCCTCTCCTTCAACTTCCCTCCTCCATACTGCGAACCCAGAGCTCGAACGGAGGGGCGGAGGGTGGGTACAAGGGTCAGGAGGCCAGGCCTCCCAGGCCGCGCAGATGCGCTTTGCTGTCTACCTCTTCTTCCTCCATCTCAAAGGCCGAGTGGTCTTGGCTGTCGAAACAGGAGGCGCTGAGGAAGACGGGGGGAGCGGGAGGGGAGCGGGGTGGGGTCCCGGGGGAGGGTGGCTCTTCCTTGATGTGTGAGAGGGGCAGAGGGAGCCCTTCCGCATCCTGCTCAGGTGGCTGGGGCGAAGGCGCGGCCTGGGCCTGGAGCGCCTGCAGCGCCGCCGCCCTCTCCAGCTCTGCGCGGTGGCAGCGCTGGTGGCGAAGGAGGCTGTAGGCTCGCGAGAAGCGCCGTGGGCAGCGCGGGCACGGGTGCGGGGCCGGGCCGCCAGCATGGACCTGCGCGTGGCGGGCCAGGTCCGCCAGCCGCTTGAACTCCCGCTGGCAACGCACGCACTGGAAGGGGCGCGCCCCCGAGTGGGTCACACCGTGCTGCCGCAGGTGTGCCCGGCGTCGGAAACCTTTGCCGCACTCGGGACACCAGAAGCGGGGCTCCCCCGCTGGGGGCCGGGCTGGGGCGGTGTCTCCTCCGTTCTGCCCGCCTTCTCCCCCTTCGGGGGCACCCCCGCACTCGGCCCCTTCGCCCCCCTCAGGCCCTTTCCCTGAGTTCCGTCCACCTGAGGCCTTGTCGTCCTTCTTGCCCGCCCCGGGCAGCGGGGCCAGCAGGCTGAGCGCTCCGTGGACGCGGCGGTGCTGGCGGAGGTAGGAGGCGAGGCGGAAGGCTAGGCCGCAGTCTGGGCACACAAAAGGGCGGTCCGTGGAGTGGACCAGCCGGTGGCGCGACAGGGACCAGGGCCTGGCGAAGGCCTTGAGGCAGATGGAGCACTGGTGTCGCTTGGGGCGTGGCGGGGGTCCCCCTTCACCCTCCTGTTCGCCCTCGGGGCGCAGACACGGGTGCGCTTTGAGCTCGCCCTTGGTGGCAAAGGCTTCGCGGCAGCGGAGGCACAGCAGCGTCCAGTCGGCCTGGAGCAGGACCTGCTTCTCCTCCTGCCGCCCGGCCGCCAGCGCCAACTCGGCTCTCAGCTCGGCTGCCCCAGCCTCGGCCTCCTCCGCCTCCGCCTCCCGGGGCTCGACGCTCGCGGGGGCCGCCAGTGGGGCTGGATCCCCGGCAGGCCACGACTCGGGCCACGCTGTCTCCTCCTCCGCGGCCCCGGCCACTGCAGTGGCGGGCTGCTCTGCGCCCTCCTCCTGAGGGCTCCAGCTGGACTCGGCCGCCTCCTTGGCTGCCCTCTCGATGGCCAGCTCCACCTCGCCGCCCGCGTGCTCCTGGGCCAGGTGGCGCCTGAGCTGGGCGGGCTCCGGGAAGGTGCGAGGGCAGGCGGCGCAGCGCAGCGGGGGCTGGGGCCCGTGGCCTCGCAGGTGGCGGGAGAGATGGGCAGGCCGGCGGAAGGCCTTCGGGCACAGGGGACAGGCGTGGGGACGGAGGCCTGAGTGGCTCAGCCGGTGCCGGGAGAGGTAGTAAGGGAAGCGGAAGAGGCGGCCACAGGTGGGGCAGGGCAGGGGCGCCCGAGGGGCTCCAGCGCCTCCCCTGCCACGACCACGACCACGACCCCGGCCCCGGCCTCGGCCCCGGCCCCGGCCACGGTGTGGTGGGCTGCCCTGGGCAGGTGGAGGGGGCTGCGGATCCATGTCTGTGGGGAAAAAGGGGAGAGGCGGCAGAGGTGAAGGGAGGTGTGTGGGTGTGGCAGAGAGGGGCAGCCACAGAGACAGGCAAAGGCGGGACAGGGTCAGCGCTCACCCAGGGACAGGGGAGGGACGGAGGAGGAAGGCAGGAAGGTGGGCAGACAGACCCAGATCTGAAGCAGAGATGGGACAGAGATAGGAAAATCAGAAACAAGAGGAGCAAAGAAGCACAAATGGAGAGAGCATCAGGAGAGGGCAAGGGAAAAGGAAAGGGAGAGGTTTAGAGACCCAGGGGCAGAAAGTGCAAGCAGACCAGGCCAGTGGGAGGGTGGAGGCAGGGACCCAAGGGACAACAGGAGAGGGGACAGAGAGTCAGCCAGCTGCTTTTGCTCAAGGCCCTACAGTGGGATTTTTGGGAGAGGCCAGAAACTAGCCCCCAAGGGGCCAAAATGGAGGGGGTGGGATTTCAAGTCTTGAGGCCCAGGAAATGGAGTGTCTGCACCCAGAGGCAGGGCTTGCAGACGCCAGGGAATTGGAGAGCTCAGACTCCCAGTCTGAGGGCAGAGGGCTGGGGCTGGACCCCTGAGTCCGAGGAAGGGGGCTGGGGTCTGGACCCTGGGTCTGAGGGAGGAGGCTGGTCCTGGACCCTGGGTCTGAGGGAGGAGGCTGGGCCTGGACCTGGGTCTGAGGGAGGAGGCTGGGCCTGGACCCTGGGTCTGAGGGAGG